AACGAACAAGAGGAACCATGAATCGAAATCGTTGGCTCGAATCGTCGATTCTTTAGTTGGTTGGAACATTTCCTCTTTTTTCTCTCTGATTGGGCAATGGACATGACATATTGTGATTGGAATAGGATTTGAAACGTTATTTATAATTTTCAAGATGAGATGGAATTGAAGTTGTAATTGGTGAATCAGTGTCTGTTTGACAAATGAATAAAAATATTTGATTACCATTAATTTATATATTTTACAATATTTATTTCAATAATTCGAAGTTCATTTCATTTTCAAATATTTCACTATTTCGAAATTCTTTATTCAAATATTTAATATCATTAATAACCTAATCTAATGTAACTCAATATATCAATATCACAATTCACTATTTCATTGTCTCATAATAAAAATTTAAATTTCACTACATTTCAAAATCCTTATATCAAATATTTATGTATATAAAATAATTAGTTGCAAAATCAATTTTAATAGTTTCATTTAATACTTGTTACACGTAATGGATAATTAAGCAGCATCGAAACGTTATTCGACCTTCAAGAATTCGAAACATAAATCTCTACGTCGTTTTGTCGGACAATGTTGCACCGGCTCTGATTAAGTGCACATTAATCGTTTCTGGATGAACCGTTGAGACGCTATTTATGGCATCTTTACACTAAGAGTCGTTGCACAAATATAGAAAGGGAAAATTGTTGGTCGATATTCAAGTATGCGAATCAAAAGTTAAATATGATTCCAGAGTTTTTATTTTCTTGACACATTATAAATATTTGAATAAGCTGGTAGCTGATTTTTGTGTTATATACGACACAATATTAATTATAATTCTTTTGAATTTTTCGCGATTATATCTGGAATTACATTTTTAAATATTTTTTGCATGATTTATAACTGTAATAATATTAAATAATATTATTTTTAACTCTTTATTTATCGTACATTATACATGTCCATAAACCTTGAAATTATCTGTTATTTTATTATGCAGATAACATGGCGGACTGCCAGCTTGCGAATATTTCGCAAGCTTTGCTAATTGCTTTAATAACGATCCGCGCAAACATAAAACGTTACAGTTTCCATCGCATGCATTTGCCTCTTATAAAGAGGAGCTAGAAATTTCTATCAGAAGCTAATTACTGATTTATATTGTTGATTTCTTTCGTATTTTAATATACCTTCATTAAACTTTATAAAATATATGACAGAGACATAAATTAAGGATTCATTAATTCGAATGGAAATGACGTTAGTAAAATTTACAGACGAGAAAAGAGATATTTAAAGAATTTTGAATTTGTTAGAAGTAACTTATTAAAAAGATAAGAGAAAATAAAGAAATTTAATTTAAATTGGATTTTAATTTTTCATTATTATTGACATTCTATCAAATTACTAATTTTTTCCTATTCTTCTATTCTAATTATTAATTAATCTTTCTTTATTCTTCTATTTTCAAACACTTTTACATTATTAATCATTAATATTCTTCTATTCTTTATCAAACACTTCTGTCTCAATAATTATTGATATTTTCTCTATCAAACACTTCAATATTACAAATAACCAACTTTCTCTATTCTATCACTAATTATTATTAATCTTCTTCTTATCGCCATTAAACTTTCATCTCCATTATTATCAATATTTTTTCTCTTAATCGTTCTTCTCATTGATCAACAATCGTCCAATTCCCAAAAATAACTGTCCCCTTACAAAACAAAGGAAAAAAGAAAAACTAGCAAAGAATAACATCACATAACCACACACTTTCGATTGATACTCTCCATCCGCCACCTGTGTGCACGTGTATACACAAAGGGGCGCGCAGTGGCGCTGGCGCACGTCTACAATCATATGAAACCTGCGCGCCACGAGGCAACATCGCCAGTGCCATTCGTCGCCGCAGTGCGATACGGTCGATAGGAGAAAGACGACAGTTAAGAGCGATTTCAGCTGCCGCAGCATCGCCATTCCATAATTTT